AGTCCTAGGAGAAAATGGAATGTAAGGACTGCTTTTAAGAATGGAATGTAAGGACTGCTTTTAAGACACTGAAGAGGGGGCACCTGGATGGCTCAGTGGGGAGCCTGCTTCTCCCTCTCCCTCTGCGGCTCCCTTTGCTTGTACTCTTTCTCTCTCTCTCTGTCAAATAAATAAATAAAACATTTGAAAAAAAATTTAAGTTTAAAGCAAACATATAACAACACAAAAACCTCTGGTTCCACAATGTAAAACATGTGTTTGGGTTCTAAAGATAATAACATGCGAAGATTCAGCTAGTTCAGGCACAAATTACCACATCTCAATGAATGAGAGCAGCCTGGGGACAGCGTGGGACACTGGGACACGAGTGAAGAAAATGGATCTAAGACGGTTCAGGTTAGGCCCATTTAAGGCTGCTCCTACGCTGGCCTGGCACCTGAGCTCACAGGGAGCAAGGCCCACCTGTCCTTCCCTCTCCAAAGCAGGCAGGTTTGGTTTTAGAGGCCCCTCCTCTAAAACAAGGAGAACCTTCCTTTCTCCTCCCTCTTAAAAAGCCACGGCAGATTCCCAGGGGACGGAACCCTCAAAGTGTCATCACTTACTTCCAAACAGAGAAGTTACACCTTGATTTAGTGGTGCAGGTCAAGACTGCTTAAGTCTCTCAAAACAGCCCCTCACCAGCCCATTTTGGGGGTTTTGTGGGGTTTTCTGGTCATCGCACATTCTGAAATGGATTTTTTAATCCCCCAGCATCAAATATCTCAAGACTGATGAGGGAGCAGAAGGCAGGTTGCTGACTAAGCACAAGCGGACCCCACACACCAGCCCACTCCCCCAGGTGGGATGGTGTGACATTCCTCAGTCACTGCAGGCTGCCCTAAAGCTAACAAACAGTTAACTGACAGAGATCACAATGTTGCAGGACAGGAGCCTCCACCAGTTTACAAATGTCTCAGTCATTTACAAGGAAAAGGCATTCTAACCAATAGCCTAACTTTTGGAAACCCAGAAACCGTGGACTCCATTTCCTGGAGGCCTGACAGCACCCTCCCCTCCACAGTGATGTGGGAAACAAAGGTAGAAGAGAATGTAAATAAAATAAAATTTCCTTATAACCTGTAGCCCACTGACAAATACTTGAGGCAGGCAGAGTGTAAGGTCCCTCCAGATACTCCCCAAAGGTCTTATGCCTTACTAGAAGAAAAACACCTTCACTTGACACTAGTCAGGGCTCCAGCATCCCAAGAGTCTTTCTTAGCATATGAAAGTCCTTAGGGAGACCTCCCTTTGTCCTGGCCTCCAACTCCCTAGTATGTAATCAGCCACTCCTCACAACCCCAGTGCAGCAGGTTTTCCTACCCATGGGTCCTGTCCCCATACTTTAATAAAATCACCTTTTTGCACCAAAGACATCTCAAGAGTCCTTTCTTGGTCTTCAGCTCAGGACCTCACCAACAATCCAAAAACCATATCTAAACAATACCTGCTCGGGGCCCCGGGGTGGCTCAGTAGGTTACGGTCTCCAACTCTTGGGCTCAGGTCATGATCTTGGGGTCATGAGATCGAGCCCAACGTTAGGTTCTGTGGGCAGAGTTTTTTTCTCCTCTCCTCTCTCATTCTCTCTAATAAATAAATCTTGAGGCGGGGGGAGACTATACCTGCTTGAAGTACCAGATCAATTGACCTCAATGACCTGCAGTAAAATGGCTCCTACACTTTAGGATGGGAAATATGCCTCAGGAGAAGACAGAGATCATGTCCTGCTTTACCAGCACTAGCAGAGTTTGCTCTGAGCCCAAGTTCTCATGGAAAAGAGGAGTTTCCCTAGTGAAAGAAGGAAGGATGAAGTTTGGCTGGGCAGCTCCTTGCAGTCCCCTCCTGCTCAAATCTAAACTTGGGCTACATTTTGAAACCAAGGCAATAACTGAAAAGGAGGGCTGCCCTCGTGTTCTTAACCCACGCACCGATGGCCCGTCTGGCTCTGGACAGAGTCCCGTCCTCTGTACCCCAAGGTGAGAATGCTGCGTACGAGGCAATTACACACTCCCACCCGGGCCGTTACAAGCACCCACGCTTTCTCCTCTTCCCATCACATCCTCAAACTTTCCACAGCCCAGCAAAGCGGGGGCTGCAGCAGAAGCCCAGTGTGTCTCCCCACAAGGGGACCTTTCAATGCCCGCCTTCAAGCATCGCCTGAGGATGAGGTCAACCTCCATTCTATAGGCTGCAAACAAGCTGACTTTGTGACCTGCCTCCTATGAGGCCCTAAAAATGGAAAAGGAGTGGTTTAGCCAACAGAGACCTCATTCCCTATGCAGAAAGCCCAGCCAAACCATTTTTAAGTAAGTACATTCAGGAGAGAGGCATAGAAATGCTTACAAGAGACAATGTGAGGAGTCGGGGTAGCCCCTCTCCCCTTTCCTCCTTCTGTTCCTCTCTGCTCTGACCCCGAATCACACTGTACACACAACCACACCACAGCTGGGCTCACCTTGCTGAATATCCGTCTCCCACTCAAGAATCGATAATGGCTTCCCACATTTGCCACCACACCATGGTCAAATGCCTAACCTTGGCACTAAAATCCCTGCAAGGCCATTTCACCTACCCAAATCTCCTCTCTTTGCCCTCCTCCCCACCTATACAGCGTAGTAGCGAAGAACACATTCGGCCCAGGTTCAAATCCCAACTGTACTACTTAGCGCTGGAGGCCTCGGGCATGGTACCGAGATGATTCAGTGCCCCAGCCTCCTCGTCTGGAAGGCAGGAGCAAGCACAGCACCCACTGTCCAGCCAACAGCAGTAGTGAGGAACCGAGAGGATTCAGGTAAAATGCTCAGAATAAAACCTGGCATGGGGTATCACCCAATAAATATCAGCAATTAAAATAGTTATTATTATCACACAAGTCACTTCCAGGAAGCCTCCTTTAGGGATACCCCTCAACACTCAATGTCTTCTGCTTTTTAAATGTTCTACAGAGACCTGGAAATCACAGACACCGGCTCAAGTTGTTAAGGATGGTTTCATGGAGGCAGGTTACTTGGAAGGCCACCAAATGTTAAAATTATTATTATTCAAGTCATAGCCTAAAATGTATCCCTGTGGGTCCCAAAGGACCCTTCCCACTCCCCCCACGCCCCCACCAAGTAACAATGCTTCTGATGGGTTGGCCACTACATGTTTGTAGAGTCTCTGGGTTTGTTTCTTGGATCCAAAGCTGAATTCTACCGAGACTAAAATTTTCTGAAGGGCTGGAGTTGCAGGAGAGACATCTGCTACCTGCTCAGAGCTCCCACCACAACCCCAGGGGATCCTCAGACCAATGCCTGCTACATTAGAAAGAGAACATGAAGTTATCTGGAAGACAGAGGTGATAAATGTGAGATCAGACACCCTGTCAGTATTGCTCTTCTCAAACTTCCCGCCACAAACATACAAGATCAAACCACAGTATGATGAAGAGGACAGGTGCTGACTATCACCAATGCAGGGTGAAGCCTGGTGTGGCCTAACGAGGCATACCTCGCTCTGGGTCTCCCTGCCTCCAAATTTCCAAAGCATTTTATAGATCCCCTCATACGGCACCTAGTCATTTCTACTTTTTTTATGCCTCAGAAGACTTTACACGCTGTGTTCCACAGGAGAAGCTCTGTCTCTCACAGGTCTGAATGCCCCGGAGCTCCCACCGCAGTGCCTTACTGAGGAGATAGCCAATGTTTAAAGCAGTCAGCAGAGAATCGCAATTTCACAAGCTTTCACAGTACTCCCACTATATTCCAGACCCTAAATTCACAATTATAAAAGCATTACCTAACAGAACTCTTCAAAGGGCCTAATGGATAAGAATGTATCAAGTGATTTTTAGGAAATGGTTGTTTTGAAGCCTTGAGAGTGAGTGTATGGAAGAGGGTCGGTACCATCAACCTAAGGTTGGGGAGAAGAGACTCTCGTCGGGAGCTGCTCCTGGTGATGTCACCTCCACTGTGGACGAGGTCCATCAGAGTACTGCCCCTGGCCTCCTCCCCATCCTCATTCTGCTGGTCCCTAGGAAAACAGGGTTGGAGAGACAGCCTTTCCTCTCCCCCTTTCCCTTGGATCTGTTGCTCTTCCTGGTGAACTGTGTACCTCTGTAGGGGAAGTCAGGTCCAGCCCCGTGAGACTGGTAACTGGGTGGGGTCCCCCAGAGTCATTTCGGGGTTCAGTAGTAGGAAACACACTTCTCTGCAGATGCAAGCCACAGTGTCTCACATCAGCTTTATGACGGATAAAGGTGATGTCTGGTGATGTCTATCTGCTGACCTCGTAGTCTCTTTTGTCAATTTGTTGACAAACTGGCAAAACTTAGGAAGAGAAATGTTATTTATTAGGCTCCCTCAAAAGCCCCAACATGTCCCCCTTTCATCTGGCTGATCAAAAGGCCTTCCACAGGGAAAGCCCACGAAAAAGGCCGCAGGTGTCTTCCTCAGCATCACATCACCAGGCCCACCTCTGCATACACTGCCCCAGAAATGGCCAGAAATCCATCCCTCACCCAATTTACAAATGATACATCAGCAAAATAAAAATCGCCCTATGGCCCATTCCTCATTATCTGTGGGGATTCTGTATGCTTTATCATGCATCCCACGTAGGCCAAATTGAGTTTACAATAGCTACTACTTGAGACACCGGCAGCCTTCCCTAGGACAAGGGAAAAGTACAAAGTCTACAAGAAAAGACTGTACATCTGAGGAGGAACAGCTCTAAACAAGACTAGGATAAAACACACACTACACCCAAAGCATCGGACTGCATCTGTACTACTACGAAAGTGCAAGATGCTGAATGGTTCCCCAGCTTGGCAGGAAAGTACCCAAGAGGCTTCCGGAAGGTTCTGAGAACGCAGGCCGACCCCCAACCACACCATGGTGGCTGGGCCCCATCCTCTAAATTGAACGCTTCCCACACACCCTCCTCAACCAAGGAAAATGGGAAGGGCTGGAAAGAGGCCAACTTACATGCTCTTTCATCTCGTTAGCCACGGTTTTGGACATCATGACGCAGCAGAGCAGGACGACGAGAATGAAGTACAGCGCATACATGGTGCGCGTGCTCCGGGACTGTCGGATCTTGGGGCAGCAGCCGCAGCAGAGGGAGCAGCCAGCAGTACCACAGCAGCAGGCCAGCTAGGGAGGGAACACAAATAGCCTCTTAGAGCCACGCATTGACAGCCCCACAGATGCCAGACCTCTACAGGTCCACCTTCCCAGGCAATCATTCTTCAGAGCCACCCTGCCCATAGAACGTGCGGGAACAGTGCGGTGTGGGGACAAAGCTTTCTCTCTTTTTTTTTTTTTTTTTAAGATTTTGTTTATTTGACAGAGACACAGAGATAGACGGAACCCAAGTGGGGGAGTGGGAGAGGGAGAAGCGGGCTTTCCACTGAGCAGAGAGCCTGATGTGGGACTCGATCCCAGGACCCTGGAATCATGACCTGACCCGAAGGCAGGTGCTTAAGGACTGAGCTGCCCAGAGGCCCCAGGAACAAGGCTTTCACCACAATCAGTCTGACATTGTCTTTAGTAGAAGGTGGGCATGTGGCTTGGGAGATGCCCCATTGTTAACAGAAAAGCCACAGTTCACCCAAAGCACTGTCATCATTACTCTGCGATAAAACAAAGATTTTGGAGATCGGCTGTAAAGTACGAGAAGCCAAGAATGAGACAAAGGGCAAAGTGGGTGGGAAGAACATGAAAGTCAAGAAGCCGGGCCCAAGAAAGGGACGTGCCAAAAACAGAGGAGGCAAAGAATGAACTGTATAAACACCTAGGGACCGGCTGGATGGGAAAGACTATGTGGGCGGGTAAGTATCGTCCTTCGCAGGCAATGATGGGAGCGTGTAGCCTGCAGCTTCTGACACAGGCATTGTTCACCAGAGCTCCGTGCCCCCACCGTGAGCTTTCAGGCTAATGAGCAGGCACGGGCACCGGGGAGCAGAGAGATCCTGCTGTACCACTAAGTGCACACGCATCTTTTATTTGGGGAAACGGGTTTTTCCCCGCCCCCAATCTCTGATTGGACTTCACTGGTCAATGCAAACTACACATAATTTGGGAATAATAAATAAAATAGGGATTAAGTTTTCAAGTTTGAGACCAGTGTTAAGTTTTTTTCTTCTTAAAGACTATTTTTTTAGACCATTCTTAGGTTTACAATAAAACTGAGAGGAAGACACAGAGATCTGCTATACACCCCTCCCCCCACAGATGCATGGCCTCCCCCATTAGCAATATCACTCACCAAAATGGTACTTTTTTTTTTCTTAAACAAGGATGAACCTAACTTGCATATCATCACCCAAAGTCTACAGGCTACCTAAGGGTTCACTCTTGGTGTTGTGCATTCGGTGGGTTTGAATAAATGTATAATGACATATACCCATCATTATAACATCATACAGAGCATTTTCACTGCACTAAAAAGAAACTCGATCTTTAGGAAAGCATGGGGTAATAGGAGTGTTGTTAAAAATTCAGGCTCAAGGGGCGCCTCAGTGGCTCAGTCAGTTAAGCCTCTGCCTCTTACCTTTATGTTCAAGTCATGGTCTCCCAGTCGTGAGATGGGCTCCGTGCTTAGCATGGAGTCTGCTTGAGATTCTCTCTCCCTCTGCCTCTCTGGCCCCTTTCTTCTTCCCCTTCCCTCTCTCTAATAAATACATAAAGGTTTAAAAAAAAAAAAAAAAGGCTCAGGCTCAAAGTCAGCCTGCCAGGGTTTAGAACCTGGCTCCTCCATCTACTAGCTGTGTACCATGAGCAAGGTATTTATCCTTTTAAGACTCAGTTTCCTCATTTATAAAATCGGGGTATTAACAGTATTTATGCTTGTGCTATGATCTCATAGGTGACTTGATCTAACATACCTGGTCTTAGGAAGGGATTTCTCTTAAGCAAACAGGGAATTTTACAAAAAGATTACCATAACTTACAAATAACAACAAAACCTACATGTTAATGCTACAGTCGGGGCACCTGGGTGGCTCAGTCAGTTGAGTGACTGCCTTTGGCTCAGGTCATGATCCCAGGGTCCTGGGATGGAGCCCTACATCAGGGGCTCTGCTCAGCGGGGAGTCTGCTTCTCCCTCTGCCCCTCCCCCGGCTCGTGCTCTCTCTTTCTCTTACTTATATGCTCACTCTTTCTCTCAGATAAATAAATTAAAATCTTAAAAAAAAAAATAAACAATACACTTGGTTTGCAGATGAACTAACCTACTTTCCTTGAGAACTGCAGACCACCGGCCTTAAGGAGTAAAGGACCAGACTTCCCCAGAGGAGAAGTCCTGACCACACTGGAACACAGCTGCTGCTGATGCCAGCAAGTCTGTTCAGGGTCATGCCAACACATGACTATTTGCCTAGGCACCACCTTCTCCCGCAGTTAGCCCAGCACCAGCCCCCAATGACCCATACCTTTCCCCTTTAAAACCCTCTGGCTTCACCTGGACAAGGAAGAGGGTCTTTGGGACATTAGTCCACCATCTTCCCAGGCTTCCAGCTTCCTGAATAAAGCAACCTTTCATTTCCCTCCATCACTTGTCTCCCGAGTACTGATTTTGAAGCAGCTGAGCTTGAGTTTAGAACTGATTCTCTGCCCAGGGACACCCATCATTGTCTGAGTACTTTGTGTACTATTTCATCGCTTCCCATGTTTGCTAATGCACTCTTTCCATCTTATGTTCAGTTTTCCAAACTGTCTTCCTCAAAAGACTCTTCTGGCCTCATAAGGTGAGGCCACAGCCTTGTAAGGTAAGTCACTCTGCTTGGGCTGGGCTAACAGATCTCCTAAGAGAGAGCCCAACACCACTGCCTCTGTGTGCTTCTGATAGGTCTCCTTCCTTTATAATTTACTCACATCCTCCATCCATGACTTTACTGACCTCCTTCCACCTGAGGCCCGAGTTTCCCCCTCTCCCTACCTTCTTTCCCTCTCTCTCCTTCTGCTGACATAGCAATCTTTTCTCTCGACCCTCACTTTCCTCTTCCTCACCTCCCAAATTCTTTCCCAACTGTCTCCTTTGTTGGCTGCTAACTTTTTTTAGTTCTAAGGTTTTTAAATTCGTATGTATTTCAAATTCAAATGCAATAAAATATGTATTCTATTTGGGAAAAGAAGTATTTTTAAAGCTGTTAATGCGTCCCATGATAGAATGTTCCCCTAAGACAGTCAACATTTACATCATTTCCAGATTTTATATTATTTATTTATTTATTTTACAAGAAATAGGGACTTTAATGAAGATGATTTCCCTTTGATATAATTGAGACCCATGGAGACACCTGAATGAAACGAAAAGGCCAGGACGGATATCTAGGAGTCCTGGACTGGCAGCGGAAGGACGCCTCCGGGGGCTCCAGGGGCTCCAGGAAGGGCCGGCAAGGCAGCACAGGGCCTGTCACCGCAGGTGTGAAGCTGCTCACACCCGTGGGGCCTCCCCACCTCACTCCCAGTCCTAGCTCAGGACCTGCTTCTCGGAGAACTGGGTCTCTAGTAGAAAGGAGAATGCTGATGGGCCCAACAGCCACAAAGGCTGGGTGGGAGGAGGAACATGCTGTCATTGTAAAAGGGCTTTGAAAAGTCAAAGAGGTGATGTGTACACATAATTGATTGTTGTCATTTTGTGCTCAAGATAAGCCACAGAAAACAAATAAGGAAAATAAATCTACAGCCCTAAAATATATGCATGAAAAATAAAAATAAATCCCTTCCCAAGTTATTTTATTTTTATTCTAATATTTATATTTATATTTTATATATTTTTATTTATTTACATATATAAATGTATCATATATTTATTTATATTATATATCTATATAAATTATTTTATATATTATTCTCTTTGTTATTATTTAAAGGTAATCAGTAACAGAAAGAATGTGATTCCAGAAAATGTGAAAAGAAAATCATACTGCTTGCTTAGAAGACTCCTGTCATTAAAGTCACATACCATTGTATGGATTTAGCTTTTCAAACTTTCCTTTCTTTTCACTTTCCCTCTTTATTTTATTTTATTTTTTTTTTTTAAAGATTTTATTTACTGGGGCGCCTGGGTGGCTCAGTGGGTTCAAGCCTCTGCCTTCGGCTCAGGTCATGATCCCGGGGTCCTGGGATCGAGCCCCACATCGGGCTCTCTGCTCGGCGGCGAGCCTGCTTCCCTCCCCCTCTCTCTGCCTGCCTCTCTGCCTACTTGTGATCTCTCTCTGTCCAATAAATAAATAAAATCTTAAAAAAAAAAAAAGATTTTGTTTACTTATTTGACAGAGATCAGAAGTAGGCAGAGAGGCAGGCAGAGAGAGGAAGCAGGCTCCCCGCTGAGCAGAGAGCCCAAGGCGGGGCTCGATCCCAGGACCCTGAGACCATGTCCTGAGCCGAAGGCAGAGGCTTAAACCACTGAGCCACCCAGGCACCCCTCCCTCTTAATTTTAAAAATATACATGCACATGCGTAAGTGTGTGTATCTGTGTATGTATATTTACAGGCGTGTGTGCGTATATATTCATACCTAATATTAGAATCTAACAGCCATTCTCTATTAGCCTAAGAGTTACTTATCAAATCTAGCTATGCCAATAACCAAGGATACAAGTGCACTGTCTTAACCTAGACACTGATATGCATACCAAGTATATATTCAAAATGGCATTCTTAAAAGAAATGTTATGCTAGCATCTAGAAAATGCAGCTCACAGAGCTGCTGACTTACCACTTCTTTTAGGAAGAGCATAATTTGGAATAAAATGGGTGCACATCCAGCCCCTGCCACTTACAGGTTTATTACTTTGAGCATGTCACTCATACTGATCTTTACCTTCAAACTGAAAAAAATCAATTCCTGTCCAGCTGAACTTCCAGCTCTGTCACATGCTTGGAGAGAGGTTCCAGAGTCTTGTTACCTCTGGCTCCAGAGAACCTAAACCTTTTACTGAACAAATTATGGTCTTAAAAAACCTAATAAATGCAGAATGTACAACACAAGAGTGAAACCTAGTGTAAAGCATGGACTTTAGATGATAATGTAGTGTAGGTTCATCAACTGGAACAAGTGTACCACCCCATGGGGACTGTTGACAACCACAGAAGCTATGCATGGAGGCAGGAGATAGACTCCACAGGGCCCAGTTCAGAAGTCATG